TGGCACAAAATAACTATATGACAATCAATTCTATTACCGCTTTGACGCATGCAGCTATTCGTTGACGAAAGCTTACGCACACAAAGCGAGGACGTTACTCTTTAACTTAAAGGACTCGCGAAATGTTGACTTGCGTAATCGCTTGCTCTCTGGCAAGCTTCTTTCGCACAATCTTGTGCGAATGGGCGGACACGATATGGCAAACCCCCAGCTTGCTCGGCAGCGCAAAGAGTGGATAAAAAAACGCACACATGAAGTCATGCGTGACGGCCGCGAGGTGGAAGGATTTGAGTCAGACTTATTTGAATGTCGCAACTGTGGAAGTTCACGAACTCGCTACCGTCAGTGGCGCCGCAAAGCTGTGGTAGACCGAACGCGAGTGATAGTCATTTGCTTACGGTGTCCGTACCGGTGGGAGCTGTAGAGGCCGCTTGTGTGACTATCGAGCATCAATTGTTAAAATATAGTAACTGTGAAAATAAGAAAAAAACGGGAGTATTTTATAAGTGCATTTTTTGCCAAATATTCCTCTGGCATCAATCACGATAAGCAACTATCTAGCGCAATAAGGAAATGTATGAAGACAATTTTAGCGCCGACTTGTTCGTGAATCGCGAGTAAATTTTCTTTCGTTTCCGCGTTCCAGCATATATGTCTTACACTCTATTTTTCTCCAGCTACAAGTGTCAGGAATTCGATTTTGGCATTTTAAAGCAGAAGCTTCTGTGCTCTCACGCCGCGTCAACTGATCACGACCTGACTGGTCAAGTAGTGTGGCCAGTCTCTGCCTTCCTGGCCTGGTATCTCGTCGCACAACGTGATAAAATTGTTGGAAAAAACGTCGTAGAGCTGGGAGCTGGTGCAGGACTAAGCGGCCTTGTTGCCTCTCAATTTGCGTGCGTCTTGACTTTTATCTCGTTCAGTTGCCAGATAAACACTTGGCCTGAGCTGTATATGTTACGGCAACTTGTAGATCCCACACCGCTCTGACGGATGGAAACGATATTGTGCTGGATCTGTTGAAGGATAACGTACAGACCAACGCCGATGCCAGCAAAGTTCAAGCGCTTCAGCTAATTTGGGGAGACTACGCCAGTGTCAAAGCCTTTGAGTATTCATTTCCGTATCCTGTGGATATGCTCATCGGTGCTGACGTTGTGTGCTGGCCCAATCTTGTCAAGCCAATTTTACAAACTGTAAAATATTTGCTATTACGGTCGCGCAATTCAATCAAGACAAAATTCTGTTGTGGTCTCGTTTGTCGTGCCCAGTCGACAGAAGATTTATTCTTTCGTGAAGCAGCGGCATTCGGCTTCCGTTATCATAGGATTCCACATGATACATTTCTTCCAACTCCACGACCTGCTGCTGTGGCTTCACATCGGGAGCTGCAGCTAGTCGTACTGAAGCTTGACCCTAAAGCTCCGAATTGGAATGAACCTGTCCAGTTTGCCGACGCAAAACTATTGAGCCTACAGACCGCCTGTTAATGTTACTAGATAACACTGTACAGTGTAAAAAAAGGATGATGTATAAATTATTGAGTGGCGTTTATCTGTGGTATATGCAGGCCGCACAAGATCTAATTACGTAGTTGGATTCTGTTTCCTTCTAACGTGCCACCCATTGTCGTTAACATTATAAAGTTCACACCTTTACCTTCATCACGCAAACTCTTCATCTGAGAATTGCTCATCCCATGTACTCTCATCTTCACTATTAATATCCCCTTCATAAATCTGCTGTTGACGTTTCGCCTGCCACACTCGCTCTCGATGGACAGCAATCGCAATCAAATTCTTTGCGCAATTATTCTCCACACTATTGTCGCTGTACGAAATTTGTGACAGTTTGGGGCAAACAAGTTTGCCAACTGTGTGTCCTAGCATTTCCATACTTCTTTCCGTGAGATAGTTCATTTCAATACCTAGAAACCGCAAATTTCGCAATTGTCGACTCTCCATTGCATACAAAACATGGTGAAAACTTGAGTCTGTGATGGTATTGCCACCCAGACAAAGCTCTGTAAGCGTTGGAGCACAGCCATCAGCTAAAGCGTGGCACAAGATGCGTACGCCATCTTCTCCGATAAAGTTTCGACGCAAATCAAGTCGTGTAAGGTTTGGACAACTTCGCGCCCGCAACATTTGTGCAACTTTAGAAGCACCGTAATCGCCAAAACTGTTGCCTGGAAGACACAATTCTTCGATATTTGGACAGCAGCCCAGCATTAACGCGTTGAGTAATACGTCGGCTTCTCCATCAGCTTCTTCATTCGTAAACAAGCATGCGATACTTAATCGCACTATTCCAGGAAAAGTATTCAACCGCATTTGCTCTGCCATAGATAGAACAATTTGTTCATGATCATCGTGTGTGACCACAAACCGTTGAGGGCAGTTTGTAGCACGCATTGACAATTTACCAAACGTCATTCCTGCTGCTAACGAAACAATCTCCAAATACCGAAGATGGATGCATTCTTGTAGAATACAAGCATCCCCGCCTGATCGCGTCGCTAGTGCCTTCTGAATAGCATTGCAACTTAATTGCAACGATGTGACAAATAATGGCGCTAACATACAAGCGCTACGACAGACGCTACGTGCACGCATAATTTGTACACCGTCGAGATAACTCCATACAAGTTTACTCAATTCTTCGAACCCACCAAAAAGTAGAATCCCCAATTCACTAAATTCAACGTCCTTCTCTGGTTCCTTCTGACAAAATGACGCCAAGCACATACGCTTACGGCTTATACTGTCCACAAACTCGTTATGAATCATACTGCGTTCATGAGCGAGATGAGAGATACGCGGCAGCTGACGAACGTAGTCTTCTGCAGTTGCGGGAGGTTGGTCCATGTGCATCGATAATAAAGCTGTCATGACTTGCGAATTAGAATCTGGCACTGCCACTGTTGGCTTGCAGCACACGATAACTTCATTGCCAATCCTATTTGCACCTGTTTGCGCCATCTCGCGAGCTTGTGATGGTTTCCGACGGATCTTTTTGTTTACGATACCAGCCGTCAGCGCTTGCACACGACGCGCTAAACTGTCCATGTTGACGTACTCAAGTAACGAAGCAGACTGAATAAATATTAATACTTCCAACTTGCGTGCCAAGGCCCACGTTTTGTTGACAGCCACATCGCTCTGCTGGCGCAACACAAGTTGCGCATTACGTGCTAGTAATTGTCCAATGCGGGTGAGAATCATATGGCGGTGCATCCCGTGCTCGCGTCGTTGCCATGTCAGTGGACGCGGTAGACTACGTGTAACAAACACGGCATTATTTGGGCGGATGTCTTGCGGTGGCACAAACACGATGGCGTCTGCCATGGATGATTTTGCAATGCGCTGCAGTGACGTATCTGTAATGTGAAATATTGACCTTGGACTGCCTGTCCACCGGATGGTGGACGTCTCTCGCTCGGAGTGCACCAAGATAACGCTCGAGAGACTGGCGTTCAGTAAGACAGTGAGCAATTTATAAAGCAACGCTTTACGCGTCTTTGTCGAGAGGGGTGATGATAGAAATGGATGGGCGAAGTCGTTTCGTTGAATTTTGAAGACGCAGATTCATTTCTGCGGTTCGGGTACTGTAGATCGCTCAACGATAAACCTTACCACATAAATAACGGAAATTCTTTCGGTGCGGTGCCGTATAAAAAATTCACGACAAATAATAAATGCGTGGCAATTCAACCAAGATTGAAAAACCGTGTGGTATGTGGCCTCATTAAGGGCATCAAAAGAGGCATTTGGCGTGTACTTATCCTTTGAAGTCATCTGCATTGCTCACATAATTCCAATCTAGCTTTGTCAAATAAAAAAAGATCTGTCATACTGCTGCTGTTTCGTATCAATAAGCAAGAAGTTTACGACGCAAAGAAACGCAACATATTTAGGCTCTATTTTAAGCCAACGCGGACTGCGGTGGTCCGTCCGAGGTCCAGTGACGGCGAAAAATGTACAGATTTAATTAGTATGCCTCACAAATATCCAGTGATCTACACCGGTCCAGATAGCGCAACGCCCAGTTCGATTCTGGTGCTTCGGGAATCTATGATGCAAACTGCTGAAGTCCTCTCAATTGATGTTCACTGTGAAAGAATTTATCACGAAGTTGAACTCATCATAGCAGACGAAGCAATTGCAGATTCGCTGCTGACCACCACCGCAACCGTCTTTGCTAACATGGTCATGGGTCTCGCTTTCTTGAGCGCCTTTAGGTGAATATTGAGCAGCTTGCCAGCCATTGATGGTACTTGATCACGTCGAATGCAACCAGCACGATGAGCTCAAAGTCTAAGCTCACTCTGAATGCAAATAGCGTCTCTTTTATGGGCGCTTTACGTATTAGAATCGTCATTTGAGTCTTCAAATGCGACGAAGAAGCTGTAATGAAGTAACGATACTGTACAATTATACAAATTAAAATTTGATGCAATTGTAAGATCCATCAAGCTTCGGCTAGTTGCACGTCAGAAAATCAAATGAGCTTTGATATTGGAGATAACAAAACTAAATAATTGAGCTGTCTGTATCTGTCTTGACAACAATAATTTTATGTAAGTACTCTTGAAATAGCAACACCTAGTTATAGGAAGCTTTGACTCTCAAATTTCGCGTTAAGAAACTCACATTAATACGCTCCTGCCAGGAGCGTAAATGAGAGCGTCAAGCTAACACTATTAGGTTGCTCTGACATTTCAAGGGAATATATATTCAAGATTAATTCTATTTAGACTCATGCTAATTGATAAATTTTGCTATCTCGAATGATAAACTTCTTTATCTTTTCCACTCAGCGTTTCTCCTACTACTTTTTATAAAAAATAGTTTTTAATCAATGTGATTAGTGGGATTCGAACCCACAATGCTTACTTGGAAGCCAAAAGGATGTACAGCTCACAACCATGACACCTTTCATCATCATAACAACCAATATCCGTTAATTACAAATATTCACAATTACACTAAGTATAAAGTAGATTTCGTACAACTAAATACTATTCTAACTTCATACAATTTTACCAAATGTCTAGAAGTTTAGCACTCAAGATGGCAGCATCTTTTACAAAAATGTGGACCTCACACTTAGTTTGTATCTCTTAAAAACAGAGCAAAAATGACCACTCATCGAGCAACCACTGCGCCTAGATTTCGAATCCATTCTCTGCAATTTTATACCTGAACATGCGCCGGAAGTACACTGTCATACACCAAACTGAAACGCTTCTGGGAGGCCTGCTAAAAGCGCGGATCTTAGAACCGATGCACTTCCAATATTCTTGGTGAGGTAGCCGAGTTTTTCTCCGATCAGAACGATTCCAGTGTCCCGTCAAGTCGAGCGATACACAGTCTAGTCGTTCTTCAAGGAATAGGGGCTCTGCAGCGGGGCTGCCGTAGCTTTGCGCTTGAGGAAGCGTAATTTAGGTCACCGACCTTTCGTTCTCGACAAGAACCAATACAAGTGTAGCGGATCACAATCCACTACTTCTAAGAGTAGTTAGGATCTTAACTAAGGCTAATAGACTCCTCGTTTTAAATTCTAACCTATTTTCATCTGTGGCTAAACCGCCTTATTTTAAATGTATAGATTTTCCTAAATATATATACTTAACTCTAAATAGATGCATAACTACTGGCTACCTAGCCACATACCGTATTCTTGTTTGGGTGTTATCACACCATGCACATCTCGTGTGACACACACCCCTGTTACCAGAGTACGTGTAATTCTGTTACACCCTCCCCAATTAAGATTGAGAACATTACAGTTTCAATCGATTATTGCCTAAACGAGGCTCCCGAGCCCTCTAGTCACTGCAACTAAATTTCTTGGAATAAAACGACTTCCTTGATCAATGAGCCCTGTGTCAACGGCACGGAAGTCACCGAGTCTCGCTGGTTCTGACAGCGAATACGGGCAGAGCCCAAATTCGTCTCCCGCACGCGATGCGATGTCGCACAGTGCGTCCGCGGCACCGGGGGATGTACATCTTAGTCTCGATAAGCACGAGCATCGCGCTTTGCGCACGCTATCAATGACAAGTGACCTCGTTGAGAAGGTGGAGGTGGTCGACTCCGAGTCTGACACTTCTTTTCCCGCATGGGATAACGAGGAAGGCGGGCTGCACCAGCGGCGTGATACGAGCCCTGCTCGTGCCTTGCGGACCTCATGTCCGTTCCCTGATCTCTCGTCAATCGAGGGACGTGGTGTAATCACCAATGACCTCGACGGAGCTCAGAGGTGGCAGCATAAAGCGCGCCCATCCACGGCCGGTCATTGACCCTCATGTGGAATATGGCTTCCGCCCAGCGGATTCCGCTGTGGAAGCGAAGGACGCGGTAAATCGATCATTACGCGTCCACACCATCGGGCCCCCGGCCAGAACGGGAGATGAACTTGCCAAATGGAAGGCTCTTCGAGCCCGCTTCTTGGTTCCACAAGAATTTTTGTTGGAAGCTTATCGCACTCGTCTGAGTATTCAACGAGGTGGCTCTCGAGTACCCGCAATGCGGACAATACCTATAGAGCTCGGCCCTGGCGAAAGCACTACAGATGACGGAGTGCTCTTTGAGCGATGGGTGCAACGGCACCGGAAACTTTCATCACTGTATAACCTTCAG